TTAGAGCATAACTATAGGTATAGTAATAAGCCAGTTTTATGTTCTTTAGATATATGCTGATCAGTTTATTAAAGAATGCACGAGTTTTGTTCTATCATTTCATCAATTTCTTTATTCTTGGGTTTCTTCCAGATTTACTGTTTCCTTGATTAAATCTTCTGACTTGTGAAAATGATATTTTAGCAATTTTTAAGTTTACGTGATGGAGCAAATTTGCCAAAATTTTGCCAAATAAAATACAAATGTATTTTATTCGTATTTTTCCCTTCCGTATTTTACTAACTATGAAAGAATTGAGAAGGCTAAGATTATTTCTTACTTGTTGGAAGAAAAATGCAAGATTGGTATCTAATTTGTCTTGATATTGGTTTTCTTGACTACTATGAGGTGAAGTATGGCATCATTGTATCATAAAAGAAGAATATCAAAAAATAATACAAGCAGTGGTATTGCAGCTAGGAAAACATAAATTTAACAATTTCCCAGCCACTATTTGGAATATGTTTAAACTTTTGCAGATGTTTAAGTCTTTACATTTTCAGGCTTTTCTTCCTGTGTTCGATTCATAATTATGAGGCAAATTAGTTGTGACACATAGAACATTGATTTAGGACTTTAATATCAATCTTCGTCTAAGTTTCCATTCAGTTTGGTTGTAATTGGCATGATATTCCGGTGAGAGCCTCATGTATCCTTCTTAGTGCTTTGAGTGAATGAAGATGATTGATTTCTTGATGACCCAAGTCTTCTATGTTTCCTGCTGTTCCTGAAATTCATCCCCTGTAGTTGTTGAATAATTCCTCTCTTTTATACTATTTGTTGGGTAAAAAAAAATTGTGTAGCCAAGCGAATATACTATTTATTAATTAAAAAAATATACAAAGCCGAGTAAAGCCGGGCGGCTATACGTTTCATAAAAAAATAGAAAAAGGAGAATAGCCGTCCGGCTATAACTCTTTTTATTTTTAAAAAAATTAGCAATTGTTAAGAAAAATTATAAAAAAAGAGCCGAGTCAAGCTATTTTACCAAAAAATTAAAAAAGATATATAGCTGCCCGGCTATAGCACTTTTTTAAATAAAAAATAGTATAGCCGGTCGTCGTAATTTTTCTAAGAAATCGCGGCTATACTCGGATTTTTTTTTTTTTTTTTGAAAAAAATAGTATAGCAGCGCGGCTATACTGAGATTGCATTTCAAACTCGGATGTATGGGAGTGGGCACGCTACCATTGCCAATTGTCAATTGATCCAACACACATGTATGATTGCTGCCATATGAGTAATGCGCAAAATTGGTCTGTCTCCAATCCAACTTACTATAAGTTTGTCACAACAGCTCTTTTTCTCCCCAGGAAATTTGATCAGGAGCAATCAAAAGTTTCGTGATCATCAAGTATATTTATAATTAACTAGTACTCATGGGCAATTGTAATTTATAACTACTTATGATATGTATTTTTTTTGTCGCTAAATATATGTGTGTGGTTTGAATTGTACATATTCTACAAAATATACATATAAAAATAGGAGAACTGGGAATTGGAGACAAGTCCTTGTGTGTTGTGTTGATTAGCAAAGGCATGATTGTGAAGGGAATTGGGGACCAAGAAAGCATGAAAGAAATAGAGAACCTCCCAGCAAGAATTGTATGGGGCATATCCATTAGCTTCTACCATGGCATATTCAGAAGCAGGTGCAAATCTTGTGCCTATAAAAGGACAGCATGAACTGATCAATCCAACATCATCGACATACGTGGATCAGGAGGGGAGCAGATAGTTTGCATTGGGCGCAAGTTGTTGAATAACAGTGCAGTCCTCCTATGGCAAGGAGAAACATTGCATTGCATGCACATAGAATATATCACACATGCTTTCTGCTTTGCCAAAGGAGAATTGCCCTGCCATTCACTCCATGAAGGCTTAATCGATCATGTCATGTTCATCAGGTCCCCAATGAAGTAACAATTTTTTCTCATTACTTCTAGATCTTTGTTTTCCAAGTTCATAATTTTGCATACATGATATACCAAAATACTCTTGAGAAATGTAGTAGAGTACCTAACATAATACTAAACAAAACAAAACATATCTACCAAGATACCAAGTGTCTAAAGCTCTCAACACAATATATGAGTAGCAAATATGCCAGGTGAAACATATCAAAATACTACTGTCCTAATGAAGTTATATGCCAGGTAAAACATATCAAAATACTACCATCCTAATGAAGTATGGTCATGATCCTCATCATCAACATGCTTCGTCTCTGGCGTTACTAGAAAATCAGCTGGGGGTGGTACAAACCCGGGAACTATGCTTGATATCTGTTGCACAATTTTTTGTAGATAATTCGGAGTTGCCTCCCGAGTTGTCCTCTCTGCTACCAATTGATCCTCCAATTGTTGCAACCTAGTTGATGATGCTAAGAATGGAGAAGAAGACGTTTTGGACCCACAAACTCGGCCAAATCCCAACCCGCGTTTCTGCCTACCTGACTTCTTCCCAAGTACATCCATCACAGTATTACGGCCAGCATCTTGATCAGCAATTGACATCTCATCTATCGGGGTGCCCTCAGGATACTCCTTAAGATACTCATTCTTCTTCGCCACCATCTCATCCTTCAAACCAAAAAAAAAAACATGTTGTGGTAATTGTACATTGAGTGGTTGAGATTGCACAACAAATATACAAACACTTACAAATAAACTTCTTCGCCACAGGTTCATTATATTCCGGATGAAAAATAACCTTAATCCTATTATTAGATGTGCGCACGATGCGAGTGGTCTTTACGGCTTTACATGCCCCCCTAACCCCCTTTCTATGGGGCCGCTACTCTATGTCTCGAATGGCCGGAAGACGACCTGCATTTGCAATTGCAAATGTCCATGATGCATAATTAAAGTATAACATCAAGGATTATTGCGACAAGCAACTTGAAAAAAGGTAAACACTTACCAGAGCCATTTTCAACAGTATTTGAGTCAATCATGTCATCTGCAATTTTTTTTTTTTTTTAAAAAACACTTTATTTTATAGTTCTGAACATTAAAAACAAAACAAAAATAAAAAAAGCTGAACTTAAATCAATTTTCTTACCAGCTGATGAGGAGGTGACACGCCTAGTTCGACTAGGGTACCTGTGACGAGAAATCGCTCTCATTGGAGGATGGGGTGGTGGAGAAAGAGTCCCATTGGAGGACTGAGTCTGAGTGGAAAGACGGCCTGTAGAGACTGTCGGAGGTTGAGTCGGAGCTGCAAGACGACACAACCGTCGTTTCTTTGAAATCGAAGACATCTGCAGAAAAAAAAAAAAAAAAAAAAAAAAAAAAAAAAAAAACTTTCAAAAAAAAAAAAAAAAAAAAAAAAAAAAACAATCTATAAGTACTATATCATTGAGAACTGAAATACAAAATTTCATAAGAGATGAATGCAAACAAATAAAAATAAAATCCATAAGAAATTAGTCAAACTGTAGAAACTGAAAAAGGAGTGGGCATTCCATTTTACCTGTACGGCAATCAAGAGTCGGAGAAACCAATCTTATCGCTGAAAACCCAAAGAGATAAACAGAAAAATCATAAAGAATAGGGAGAGGAGAATCTTATGTCAGTGCGTTTGTGTGATTTCCGAGAAGAGTTAAGTGAGGGGTGAGGCAGAGAGAAGATGAAATGCCAATCGTCCTGGTTATGAATAGGGTCCAGCACGCGTCGGCCCATTTCGCCGCTTAACCCAAAACTGTTTCTCGCTGAAGAAAAGAAACGACGTCGCTGTACATGAGTGAATTTCTTTTCTTGTTTTCCACCCCGACAAACAAATTAAATCCGTCCGCTATTAGTCGTCCATAAATTTTGCAGTGAGCGGGTCTCCTGCGCTTTTCCTCCCGACGAAATAAACAAAAGAAGCTTTGCCGGCTTACGTGTTTCTAGGCCTCGGCACGGATCGATTCGGAACGATAGAAGGCTCTTTCATTAACCAAACCAAAAACTTCGGTAGACCATTTTCTCTTCTATTAACCAAACCAAAGATTTTGGTAGACTTCGGATCAGTTAACCTAATATTCGGTTCAGATTGGTTCGGTATGCCGGTAGTATCGTAATAAAAACATACTAATAAAAATACAATTTATAATACTTTCACATAACATAAGTTCTTGAACAAATACACCAAATTATCATTGTAAAATATAAAAATCCAATAGTCTAATTCATCCAAGTATGAAATCAAATAACTTAGTCATGTGAACATTTGAGTATTATTTTTACTAAATTCTCTACATTTATGTAAATGATAATGACATTTTTTTTTCGCGAAGGGTTCTTTAGTTTTTCATGCTGAATCCAACCATATAAAGAAAATAAAATTTGGATCAACGGTTGGAAAGTTACAGGTAAAAAAGGGGGAAATGTCGAAATTGAAAAACACAAGAAATTCATCTCTGACCAAAAAGTGCTACAATACTCGAGTGATAAACAAGTGATAGAATGGTGATAAAGCAGTGATACAATGGTGATAAAGAAGTGATACAAAGTGTTGATTGTATTTATCTTTAGTTTCTTGTTTTGTATTTAAATAATAGAATAAGTATAAATATCGGATCGGTATGGGTTTCCGTTGAGTTAGAAATATTGTTCCATTAACCAAACCAAATATCTCAGTACGAATCGGATCGGAATAATTAAAATTAAAAAATAATTATTTAACCAAACCAAACCAAACCGTCGGTACGCGAATAATTCGGATGAGATGCCCACCTCTACATGTTTCTATATGGATCAAAGTTGTGGCGGCAAAACTAATTTTCGGAGCTCACTGGCAGACCTACGTAGAGACAAGTGTAGGCTCACACTTGACTGTTTTCCTTCAATCATGTAGGCTACAATAAATAGAACATTTTGGTAATATTTTGCATGTTCAGTCCAATATTTTGCGTGAATATCCCCCGGTTGGCTCACTATTAAGGCCCAAAATATCAAACCAGTTTAAGAAATGACTTAGTTTGTCTCCCATCCCACGTGTATTTTGTGTGATATTTTATAAAATAATAATCTAGTTGTATAAATATATAATATTACTACTTAAAAATATTTCCTCCACCTATTACTAATTAATTTTGGATTGAATGATTTGACATTCTTTTTTATTGTAAATGAAAAGCTTCATTCAGAAAATTGACCCAAGACTCTTTAATTTTAGCTTCTTTTTTTTTTTTTTTTTTTTTTTTTGGTTTTTTATTTGAGGACCTTTCCTATTGAAAGGGGCGATAACATATTAAACTCACACACACAACACAGATGCTAGGTATTTAAATGGTGTACTGTCATGTCAATTGGATTAAGATTTAAATCAAGTCTTTGGTGGTTACGCTTAAGCTTCTAATTAGTGTTTGCAGGAAAATCATATATAAAGTGAATGGTTTTTCCAAGCTAGTAAAGGCGGAGCTAGAATTGTAGTGAGTGATACGTTGTCTAACAAAACCAATATTCCCTCGTATATAATTCCCACTTTTGGTTAATTAGCATAACCAAAACATATAATTAATTTATAGCTTTTCCAAGTGTGGGAATCTTATGTAGAACTTGAAAGGGAAGTGTCAACCTACAGAGCAGAAATGAAAGGTATTAATTCATACTGAAATATGCCTCATTTTACGAATAAGAAAAAGGTTAACAAAGAAAACTCAAAAAGACATTGAAGATCCAATGGAATGTTCCTCTCTCACCCTTATGGGAAATCTCATCCAAATGTACACATCATGCATGCATGCATCCACGTATGTATACATATGTACGTAATGCTTCTGTACGGGAAGCCATACATATGTATATGTATAGGTACGTAGACTTTGTACGTAATGTAATATATGGACTAAACTTCAAATCAAAGTGCAATAGAGATGGCCGAAATATCGAGATGGAAGCGACAGGAGAGGGGAGGAAATTAATTTTGGACCACGATCACATGATGGAGAAAGGGAACCTATATATATAGCTAGCGCCATGAGGAATATCTAGACCCAGCATATGCTGCTGCTGCCTTCAGCATATCCAATGACCTTTAATTTCTATCTATTTCTAGTTTTCTTCATGTTCTTTTCTGTTATTGTCTGAGAATTTAGACAAGCTCAATCATTACGTACGATAGGCGTCAAGCGGAAGTGCAGAGATGTTTGCAGTAACACAATTTTGTTAATAATTCAATATTTACCAGTGCTAAATGTATTAATTAAGTTGCTGGCTTCGCATGAAAAACGTATTATATTAATATAATTACCTTTAATTCACCAAGAGTTTGAGTTTGAATTAATAATTAAGGTAATTATATTAGGAAATCTAGGTCTTCTCTTTCGCCATGAAAGTTTGACCCACATATCATTGCTATATATATGTCTAGCTTGATGGAGTTGTTGCAATTAGCTCCATTCTCTTGAGCCTTGTACGTGGTTGACCGGAAGAAAGGATGAGAGATGGAAAGAGAGGGAGGAAAAAGGGAAATTATTGTATAATACTATGTGGTTTTATGAATCCGCTGAAATTATATAAGAGATCCGCGTATGGATGGATCTCACGTTTAGTAGAAGAGAAATTATAGTATAATACTGATCTAATTATAGTTTATATATGGCTATGTTTACATCGTGTAATCTTTGTAGAAGTAAGATTAGACAATTAATCAGGAATTTTTTTGGTCTCCAAGAAACATGATAATATAAATTTGAATTAACAAGTGGTTTCGACCTAGCTAGCATTCAAGAATATATGAACATTAAAAAGACTCTGGTATTACGAATCCGCCCAAATTATACACTTCAATACAATCTTTAACACCTAAACCATAAATTGTATTAATAATTATACATGTATCTTTTCGGTTGGATCCATACAGCAGTTTGGCATGTTAATTTTTAGCTATATGTGGTCGTCTTGAAAGGGAGAGATTATAGAACAAATTATATAAAATTGGCTTTTCATATCTTTTTCGAGTGGAGCGCCACACAGGCAGCCTGCCTTTGCCTGCTGAAGATTGTGATGACGAAAACAGAAACCTGAAGAGGATAATGGGAGATCATGATAGCTAGAACAGCTGATGATATTAATATATCAGTAATTTATATAATATGTAGCCATTTCTCTCTATGTGGATATTGCTTTGTGTAAGTTAACCATGTCCTAATTATAGTCTGAGTATTAATTTGTAAAGGGAAAGGGGGAGGGGACCATGAGGGCAATAAAAACAGCTAGCAGAGAATAGAGAAGCTCAGGAGAGAATGATGCCTGGCATATACCGATAGGCCTCAATGGAATATCCATATCTGATGTGCGAATCACACCCCAAGATAAAAACCCTGGCATGCAATTCAACTTCCTGCAAGCAACGCAAATTCATCAAGTAGTATGCATGCATGGTGCCCAGTACTTAAAGGTAGAGATGAATAACAGGGCAATTTTCCTTTGGCAGAAATAATTATATATATATATATTTGGTGCGTTTACTCTCAATCTCAAGTACCGGCACCGAATGCTTTCTGCCAAAGGAGAATTGCCCTGCCATTCGACTACTCTACCAATGATCCATCCGAAGCAAACCACCACTTGGTATTCATGCACTTCGATCAGTTTCATATGTACATCTATCTAGTAAGCATCTTTGCATTTTTATTCTCTCTCTATTTGTTGCTGCTGTTAATTGATCAATTTTTTATATTGCTTTCGCTGGGCAGCGATGTGTTTTTTTTTTAACAAGCACTTGAATCTCATAGGGGGTGCAACTGTGCAAGGAAAGGTTCTTAATTAATTTGAAGTCTCAAATGGAGATTAGATTGTGTTCAAGTCTTGCGGGGGATGATGTGATACATTTCTGCAACTTCAACTTAAGAAGGTCTACTGAAGCTCGACAATTGCAACAATGCTAGATGAAATCCTGAAATATTGATTGATAATTGCAATCGAATTTCTACTGAAGCTCTGCGCATGCAGCTCAATAACCCTAACTAGTCTTGGT